TAGTGCTAATAAACTCCTATCCCTTTGGATTTACTGTGTTGCTGCAGTAACTGTAAGATTGATATGAGAAAACAGACAGTAGTACGTGTATGTCACTCATGGCTTTTCTCCCTGGAAAACGTCATCCTCAACTTAGTTAAAGACAAATTTAAAATTGGCAGTCAATAGATCTGCAGTGTTTCATTTATGTACATTTTTTCATTACAGAAGTGTAAATCTATAGATCTAAAGGTGCAGACAGGAAAGTATAGATGTAGGATGCAATATGTAGAGAGGTGCAGACAGACAAGAACATATCAAGCACCCAATATTGCAGAATAGTTGTGACATGTGAATTACATTAACCCCTTAGTGACCAGAACATTTTTCAATTTTCTTACCGTTTGGGACCAGGGCTGTTTTTACATGTGTTTAGCTGTAATCGTCCTCTTACTCATTTACTGTACCCACACATATTATATACCGTTTTTCTTGGCATTTAATGGCCTTTCTAAAGATATCATTATTTTATCATATCGTATAATTTACTGTACATTTTTTATAAAATATGACATTTTTTATTTTATTTTTAAAAACACACTTTTTGAACTTTGACCCTTAAAATCTGTTGCGCATCTACAACCGCCAAAAAACACTGTTTTTCTTTTTCTAAATAGTTTCTAAATGTTGTCCTGATTTTAGAAACATCCAATGTTAACATGTTCTTGAAACACTAATATCTGTCAGGAATCCCTTAGTAACCCTTCACATGTATATCTTTTTTAAAAGAAGACAACCTACGGTATTAAACTTGGGGTATTTTAACTCTTTTCATGCAACCATTTTACCACCAATCTGCCAAATTTAAAAAAATTAAAAATTGGTGATTTTTTTTTTTGTCACACATAGCAATTTAAGAATACATGTACTGAGAACTTTAAGGGTCACTGCCAAAGAACACCCCAATATGTGTTCAGCAACATCTCCTGAATACAGTGATACCACCCATCTATAGGTGTGATGCGTTCTCTGGGGGATAAAATACCTTATCTGGAGGGTGCGCGTTCCAGTTTTCCAACAGCTGGTCATTTTCACAGCTGGTCATCATGCACTTATGTCCTAATTGGGACATTTTTGAATCCTGCCAATGTAATTTACCCCCATTAAACGAGATATTTTTGAAAAGCAGAAAACCCAGGATATTTAATCTAAGGTATGTCTAGTCTTTTTAAGTAGCCACTTAGTCACAAACACTGGCAGTTAGCATTTATATTCGTTTGTGTGTTAAAAATGCAAAAAACAATTATGAACGCTAACTTTGGCCAGTGCTTGTGACTAAGTGGCTAGTAAAAAAGACTGTACATACCCCATTTGCAATACCTTGGGTTGTCTTCTTTTGCAAATGGTATGTCATCATGGGGGTAATTTTCATTCCTGGGCTACCGTACACGCTTAAAGGCAACATAATCAATCTGGGAAATTTCAACGTGAAAAAATGACCTTATTTTTGACCCTGTAACTTTGAAAAACATTATAAAACCTGTACATGGGCAGTACTGTTATACTCAGGAGACTTCGCTGAACACAAATATTAGTGTTTAAAAACAGTAAAACGTATTACAACACTGATATCATCAGTGAAAGTGTCGTTTGTGTGTGAAAAATGCAAAAAACATCACTTTCCCTGACAATATCATCGCTGTGATCCGTTTTACTGTTTTGAGACACTAATATTTGTGTTCAGCAAAGTCTACCAAGTAAAACAGTACCCCCCATGTACAAGTTTTAGGGTGTCATAGAAAGTTATAGGGTTAAATACAGTGCTAGCAAATTAAATTCTCTGGACTTTCGGCCTGGGTTGTCAGGCAGGTCCCCCAAATTGCATTCAATAAAATTACTTAATTATGTAAAAATATTATATAAATATGTACGTAGAATTTAAATATATATACATTTTTATATATTTGAAGTCTATGTGTATATTTATGAAATTATTTATATAATTATATATATGGACATATGTATTAAGGCAGTTTTGCCTGTATTTGTGGGAGGGGCTTAAATTAATTCACTCCCCTATATAAGGGACACCCCTTACCTGACTCATATCGCTTGAGGTCAGCATCAGAATGATTTCCACTTCCGGGTCATCCAGACACCATTTTACCTGATTACTCCATGAGGTTTTCTAAGCTGAGCTGTGTCAGGAATCCAGCCACAGGCTTTTCCGGCCTACCACCTTCTTTCTTCAATCTATCGCTGTGGATGGTGTCCAAGTGACTCACAAACCGTAAGTTGACCTACCCATTACGCCAGGCATCAGTCCCACGGCACCATGCAAGGGTCAGGTCCTCACTTTACTGCTGCATTTTGTCTAAGTCTGTTCTAAAACCATTGCATGTTCATGCATATCATTCGTTTAAACCCCCTACTGGTCTTTGGGTGTACTACAGACTTCTTAGACATTATCGCATTTCATGTACAAACCAACGAACCACTGCATCTTTGCCTACACACTGACCCCTACCGGTCATTCGGTGTACTACAGGCTTCTCAGACATTATTGCATTTCATGTACAAACCAACGAACCACCGCATTTTTCACCTACACACTGACCCCTATTGGTCATTCGGTGTACTACAGGCTTCTTAGGCGTTGTTTGCATTTTCATGTACAAACCAATAAACCACTGCATTTACACCTACACACTGACCCCTACTGGTCTTTCGGTGGACTACAGGCTTCTTAGACATTATCGCATTTCATGTACAAATCAACGAACCACTGCATTTGCGCCTACACACTGACCCCTACCGGTCATTCTGTGTACTACAGGCTTCTCCGACATTATTGCATTTCAGGTACAAACCAACAAACCACTTAATTTTTCACCTACACACTGACCCCTATCAGTCATTCGGTGTACTACAGGCTTCTTAGACATTATTGCTTTTCATGTACAAAACAATAAACCACTGCATTTTCACCTACACACTGACACCTACCAGTCATTCTGTGTACTACAGGCTTCTCAGACATTATTGCATTTTATGTACAAACCAACAAACCACTGCATTTTTCACCTACATACTGACCCCTATCAGTCATTCGGTGTACTACAGGCTTCTTAGACATTATTGCTTTTCGTGTACAAAACAATAAACCACTGCATTTTTACCTACACACTTACACCTACCGGTCATTCAGTGTACTACAGGCTTCTCAGACATTATTGCATTTCATGTACAAACCAACGAACCACGGCATTTTCGCCTACATGCTGACCCCTACCGGTCAATCGGTATACTACAGTCTTCTCAGACTTTATTTCACTTCATAAGCAAACAAACTAACTACAGCATTTTCACTTTTATACTGACTCCTATCTGTCATACGGTAGGATTAACCCCTTAGGGACACATGACATGTGTGACATGTCATGATTCCCTTTTATTCCAGAAGTTTGGTCCTTAAGGGGTTAAAGGGTATTTTTACCATACAATCAGCATTTATGACCCCTACTGGTCAACAGCAAAACTGTCTTCACATGTCATATACAATTTACCAGCCAATATAAATTACACATAAGATTGTTTTAACCCCTTAAGGACACAAGACATGTGTGACGTGTCATGATTCCCTTTTATTCCAGAAGTTTGGTCCTTACGGGGTTAAACATAACCATAAACCATAAATGAAACTCCAGCACGGGCTCAAATTCAGGTTTAATTCACAATAATTTACATTTCACATCAAGACCAACAGTGGTTCTATCAACACTGCCACCTACAGGTCTGTCAAGTACATTGACAATTTTCATGGGGTTTTACAAACACCAAAACACTTACACCTATAGGTCAACAGACAAACAACATTTCACATACCAATCAGTATCCAACTACACTGCCACCTATAGGGCACTCGGCAGATCTCCAGTGCACTTGCATTTTGCAACACCATGTTCACTGACCCCTACCATTCAATAAGACATACAACAATTCACATAGCAAGCACTATATCAACATCAGGTATAAATACATATATTATTACACAGTAGCAGACGCGTCTGTATATACGTAACTGGTAATATAGTTCACATACATTTTTCACAGCACGCTGCTCACGCAACAGACTTTCCCCTAGCAAGGGGACATACAACATACAAGGTGGGGACAGACCACATTTTCACTTGTACATACGGCACTTAATGGGTTAAGATTGATACATATTTAACCAGTATGGCTACGATGTTTAATATTTACACATCATGGCACTTTACTTTTCACATATACTGTACGTATTAAGATAAGCTTGGTCTATGCCATATTTCCTTATGCCATACGGTTTTATCCATTCAGGTTACAGTTACTACTAAAAAACCTATACGGATTGTCAGGTTCAATACCATACTACCAGGTACATACACCTGCTCACGTAGTTATCCATCTCTTACCTTCCCTGGAATAGTAATAGTGTACTGGCAATTAGGGTTCTAGGGCCCAATAGGTATTACCCCCTTTTTTCTCTGCATTATGCTTCGGTTAGTGGTCCCGCGAGGCCAACACCCTGCCTCACACTCGGAGGCATACACCCCTCGGGCCACTCGTGAGCTAGCCGCCTCGCATTGTATCATAGAGAGGGCCTCACCTGTCACTCCCCTTCCTATTTCCTGGTTACTGTCACCGAGAGGCCAACATCCTGCCACAATGTTCGGTGGCCACACAAAATCCCCTCGCGCCAAGCATAGATAGAGCCTCTCAAGCCACTTGGCAACTAGAAGGGCCTCACCAGTCACCAAAAAAAAAATAAAAAACACCAAGCCTAATCGTTTCGCCTTACGGCTTAGCTAGCAAGCCAGTACAAGAACCCTGGGTACAAATAATTGCATCTTTATTGTTGTTTAAGTATTTCTCCAAAAGATGGTGAAGAATCACCTCTTCCTAGCACCCCGGCTAGAATTGATACACCTTCAAGCAGAGGAGATGTTGCTAGTCCTGCAGCAATCAGATCCTGGACGATCCCACACATTACCACCGACCTAAGGAGGTGACAAATCCCCTACCCTGCTACAGCAAGGAAAGCAGAGTTATTCAAACTCCTCCATACATCAACGGACAACACGGAGGCAGGGGAAGGCCCAGCTACATCAACTCAGGTGACACCCAGGCTATGCTAGCCTCACTCATAAACTCATGAGCCAAAAAATTTTATGACAGACTGGCAATCTCGAGTTGGTCACCACAGCCCTCACAAGGCTGGGCCTCACGTTACTGTACAACCAGCACCAACCGAAACTCGGTTACCTGGTACAATCAATTCTTATGACACACAAGATGTTAACCCTGCACGTATGATCCCAGCACATTGGGGAAGCAAGGCATATATATGTATGATGATGTATCTGTGATGGTCAGATTCAGGGATTCCAGGTAAATCGGGAACTGACCATCTCTTGGATGGGTTGGTATTTGGAATATGTAGAGATGTTTATTTGTGCAGGTACCCATACAGAAGGGGTTCTGTCCCAAACAAATGGACGAGCACTCTCAGGCTCCAGGTACCAGCACCTCTGAACTACCAGAGACGATTGATATGAGTAGTTGCATTGCATGTAGACTGTTGCATATATGTTCAAATGGTTCAGGGCACATGACAAACCATGTGGCCCAATACAACTTACAAATAACGTACTCACCATCTGTACACGCCAATGCATTTTCAACACTACTGACTCATCACTCTTCCAGACTTGTAGTAGATTTACTAAAGCTCTGGAGCTTCAAAGGGCTCCCATACAGGTATCATAAACACACCTTCAAGGAATATAGCATGCCCTCACTTACAGTCAGCACAACAAAACCATTGGCTGAAAACACACTCATAGCCAAGATTTGCAGAGTGGTCTTCCAATCTCCACCATTTACAGCATGGCACCAAACACACACATTGGTATTGTCACAAGGAATCTTCCCTTAAACAAAGACTAACCATAGACTTATTGGCACCACACACCTCCGCTACCCCAAGTCTCAACTCCCTCCCTTCTTACTATACAACACCATTGATCTACCTTTACAGCTATCACTCAAGCATGGGTTAAAGCTTGGTTAAGTAAGACCAATATCATCAACGCAGTAAACAGCTACCATCTACCCTACACACTGGCACTTACATGGCATAAATTGGGCAATCCTTTCCCTGCTCAACTTTCGAGCTACAGATTAACCTACTATCGATATTCGCAGATACTCTGTGCTGGTTATGATAACATATCCAGAGGCATTACAGTCATACACTATCTAGAAGACTTCTTGTTGCTCAAAGAAAGCATATTTTTCACTAGAAGCCTCATGGCAGCTTAGTCTGGTTGACCACTTGGGCGTCCCAGTACCCCATAAGAAACAGAAGGCGCAGACACTATCATCACATTACTGGGCATATGACTTGAGTCGGCATCCATACACGCAAGTTACCACAAGACAAATAGGGAACATTCTCAACTAAATCAATCACTACCTCCTGCTTAGTACTTACAACTACAAGGAACTACAATCCCTACCAGGTTCCTTAATTTTGCCATGCCAATCATACCACAAGACCACGCTTTCACATCCAGAGTACTTTCCCCTTTTTTCCACACTTCCAACATGACGATCAGAGGAGGTGCCTAGACACCTCAGCAACAGCAGACCTGCACATGGGGGGGGATTTCTTAACCACTTGGCATGGTAAAAGCATGTTCCTTCCAGGATTGTCTGACACTTCTCCAACCAGATGGTCAGACGCAGCGTATACCACGGGTTTGGCAGCGATCTACCGGGAACAATTGCTTTGGGGCTGTTGGCCATGGCATCCAGGTTTGGAAATTTTTCCACCACTTCAGCCCCTTTGGGAGATCTACCCCATTGTAGCAGCTGCTGTGGCATGGGGTAAATCATGGTCAGGGTCATCAATCCGTTGTTACTCAGACAACTAAGCACATATCATATCATCAACAAACGCCACTACTCATCCATAAGTTCATGATGTTTCTGGGGAACTCACTTGGTTGGCCACTTATCACATTTCACTTTCATGTACCAGACGGGGGTATACATCCCTGCCGACAACTGTCTCATTTATATTCCAGGCATGTTCATCATACGCTTCCTACAGCCGCCCATACAGTCACGTCCACTCTTTCGTTCCAGAGACAAAATCATGGATTAGACATACTCATGCAGCATAGCATGCACTATCCCACCTAGCACTTTCGTCCCATACTTGTAGAACGCATAACACAGCTTTTCACCTGGCTTAAAGTATCTCATTGGAACACGACATAGCTCAACCTGTGTCACAAAATTTCTCCTAAGTTTTGCTTATTTTTGCCACCTTAAACTTAAACTATCTCATACACCATTAATTATATATTTTACAGGCATTCAACAACACATGATAACCTATGGCCAAAACTACCATAAACTTCATGCTATCATACCAGAAAAGAATATACTCAGAGGTTTTCAGGAATCCATTCCCCCACGTTCCTCTCAGAGATTACCAATAGCCATCCAACTGTTCATCCTTATCGGACCTATTAGATCTACAACCATTCAATTATACTACCAAGTCGGCCATTACCAGCCATGCACATTGCCTTTTATGCCTTTCTCAGGCCAGAGAATCCACTACCATCACCACCACTCAGACAGATCATTGTCTTCAACGATCCCACGTACGTAAACACATATATCATTACCTATTGGCTCTACCACATTCCGAAATGAGTCAACATGCACCAACAGTAGAGATAACATACTATCCTACCCACAACAAATGGTGCCCACTTTCGGTCCTAGATTCCTACCTTCAAAATCCTTTCAGGAATTAAATACTGTAATGCATTTAAGGAAATGTCTGGTTAATTTGTATATATTTGTTGACTGTATTAAATCTTTGATTATTCATTTTTGCCCTCTTTATTTACAGGCCTACCGTATCGTCGGTATCGGCACACCACAACCGACTTGCTCCCTTTACACTATCCTAAGCTTATGCTGGATCCTTACTCCATATACGGCTATTTTGCCCCTTACACAAGTATTAAGGCAGTTTTGCCTGTATTTGTGGGAGGGGCTTAAATTAATTCACTCCCCTATATAAGGGACACCCCTTACCTGACTCATATCGCTTGAGGTCAGCATCAGAATGACCCTCCCACCCACTCCTCATTTCAACACTTTCTCTTTTCTTTCCATTTACTTTACTTTCTTACTCCTTGGTGGGCCCTCTTTATTTACAGGCCTACCGTATCGTCGGTATCGGCACACCACAACCGACTTGCTCCCTTTACACTATCCTAAGCTTATGCTGGATCCTTACTCCATATACGGCTATTTTGCCCCTTACACAAATATATATTTAACTATTCATTTGAGGGGCTTGCCTGACAACCTAGGCAGACAGTCCAGAGAATTTAATTGGCAAGCCCTATATTTAACCCTGTAACTCTCCAAAACACCATGAAACCCTTACAGGGGAGAGGTATTGTTATACACGGGAGACTTCGCTGAACACAAGTATGAGTGTTTTAAAAAGGAAAACTTATCACGATGATGATATCACCAGTAAAAGTGCAGTTTTTGTTTAAAAAAATGCAAAAAAACAAATAAAAACATTAACTTTGGCCAGTGTTTGTGACTAAGTGGCTGTTACAAAATACTTGAAATACCCCATTCTGAATTCCCTGTGTTGTCTACATTTGAAAATGGTATGCCATGATGGTGGTAATTCCCATTCCTGTGCTACCATATGGTCTCAAAAGGCAACATAGACCCAGCAAACAAATCTGGCAAACTGAAATGGGCAAGCCCTATATTGACCCTGTAACTTCATAAAACTTGTACATGCGGGGTATTGTTATACTCGGAAGACTTCACTGAACACAAATATGAGATTTTCAAAACAGTAAAATTTATCAAATTGACAATATCACCAGTGAAAGAGCAGTTTTTGTTTTAAAAAATGCAAAAAACAAATATGGACGCTAACTTTGGCAAGCGTTTGTGGATAAGTGGCTTCTACAAATAACTGGACATACCCCATTTTGAATACCCTAGATTGTCCACTTTTTCAAATGGTATGCCATGGTGGGGTTAATTTTCATTTCTGGGCAGCCGTCTCCAAGGCAACATAGCCAATCTGGCAAATAGCAATTTACAAAAATAGAAATTGGCAAATCTTATGTTTGACCCTGTAACTTTCCAAATCACCATAAAATCTGTACTTGAGGGGTACGGTTGTACTCATGAGACATAACTCTACACAAATATGAGTGTTTTAGAGCAGTAAAATGTATTATACTGATAATATCATTGGTAAAATGGCAGTTTATGTGTAAAATAAGCAAAACAACTAATATAAACACTCATTTTGGCCAGGATTTGTGACCAAGTGGATACTAAAAAAGAGTGGACATACCCCATTTTGAATTCCATGGGTTGTCTACTTTAAAAAAAACATATGGTTGGATGGGGGTAAATTACATTGGCCCGTTTCAGAAATGTCCCAAATAGGACATGAGTGCATGATGACCAGCTGTGAAAATTCCAAGTTGGAAAACTGGAATGCACACCCTCCAAATAAGGTCTTTTAGCCCCCAGAGAACCCGACACACACCTATACATGGGTGGTTCATTGTACTCAGGAGATGTTGCTGAACACATATTGGAGTGTTCTTTTGCAGTAACCCTTAAGTTCTCCGTACATGTATTCTTAAATTGTTATGTGTGTCAAAAAAAATCCCCAATTATTATTATTCATACATTATATTTTATTATTACTTTTATTTCTACCATAGTTTATCTTATTTAATTTTTTCTTTATTTTATTGTCATTTTTTATTCTAATTTTCTGAAATTTGGTTATATTAATTTCTCAGTATATCCATTGTTTTTATGTGTAATATTCTTCTAGCTCATAAAATGTCCTATTTTAGAATAGTACACTCATTTCCTCACACATTTTCTTAATTATTTTATAATCCCTTTATTCCTCTCTTTGTGCCCCTTCAAATCGCTATTATCTCAGTTTTTTCTTCACATTAGTGTTCCCGTGCAAGTCTTAGTACTTCACTTTTTTTTGGTTCCCAATATTTCGCTGCAAAGGTGGACATCTTTTTGGATCTGGGAAGGCACAAGTGCCATTTTCTCAGATACAACTATTTGCAAGATGTCTACTTGTGTATTTGAGCCCTTCTTTTGGCTTAGTCTTAGTCTTAGTCCACTCCAGCTCCTCCACTAATACACTCTTGTTCAGAGAGTGTCGTACACATATACATAACCTCCTTAGTGCAGTGTGCTACTTATAAATAAAGTCAATGTGTGTGTAACGTTTTTGAAAAAGCCTTTTTTATTGATGAAACTTTGTATTGCTTCTATTATTTACACTAGTTAATTCAATAAGGTAGTCAATTTATTAAATCCTTTGGACTTAACCTATTGTTTGAGCTTGAAACCACATATTCCTTTGGTGGGCAAAATACCACCTGATTGAAGATTTTACGCATGGAAGCACTAAGA